TGGGGACATTATACTTGGGAAGGCGTGTGTATAAGATGTCACTATTAGGTAGGTAACGATTGTTATTCCCATTTTGCAGATGAGGAAACTGATCTACAAAGAAATTGTGATTTACTCAGGGTTCACAGCTAGTCAGTAACAGAGGATAGAGAGGAACCCATGCCTGAATCGTGTTCTTACTTTCCTCAACTGTGGTAGGAAGAGAAAATGATGACACTCAGTTAGTTCCTACCTGCCATTTAAAGTGCCATTCAAATGAAAAACAAAGTGAACTTGGACAAGCTCACAGTTCAGTCTTGATATTTGTTTTCCCATCTGTCCAAAGATGAAACAGATCACCAGCCCAGGTTGGATGCATGAGACAAGTGCTCGGGCCGGGTGCACTGTGAAGACCCAGAGGGATCAGGTGGAGAGGGAGGTGGGAGGGGGGATCGGGATGGGGAATACATGTAAATCCATGGCTGATTAATGCCAGTGTATGTAGTGTCAAACCACTACAATATTGTAAAGTAATTAGCCTCCTACTAAGAAAAATAAATGAAAAAAAAAAAGAATCAAGGAGGTAAATTCTAAAATGTTTTCAAGTCCTCTTTCCTTAGCCTGGCATCTGAATAGGTCAGTCAGTACCAGTGTCCACACAGGCACTGCAGGTGTGTGTGGGGGGTTGGGGGGGTGGTGGCTGGGGCACAAACAACCCAAGATACAGAACCTCTCCCTGTGCTCAGTGTCCCCGGTTCTATAAGGAAGGAGCACGTTTCCTCCTGTGAGACACTAGGGCTTAGAGAGGGTGAGAAGCTCTGGGCTGGGGGCCGGCTGACCATCCACTCAACCCTGGGGCTTTTTCCACCTGAGACATCTGACCAGGAACCTTAACTGTTAGAGGCCTCACCTGTGAAAGTAATATAGGGAAAACACCTTCTCTGAACAGTGACATTTTTCTAACATTTTCCCTTTGTACTTAATTCGGGTACAGAGCCTAAAGTGATTCAATGGTGTTTTTGCTCATCCGATTTTGAACCTGTTTTCATTCCAACATCCACACTGCTCTCTCTTCATTTAACTATTTATTTTACTTTTCTATAACTTTGCACTTATAAAAGCAACATGAATACAGACTGAGCTCCTGCTCCAAATTAGAAAGGCCTTTTCTGTACCCCAGCAGGTGAGCCAACTCACCCCCAGAACCCAGTCAGTCTGGAAGCAGGGTACTCACAGGGATGACACAGGTAAATTCTGGGGCCCAGCATCCTGTCAGGAGGATGCCGAGTCCAGCTCCAAGAAGTGTGTAGAACTCACTAGAACCAGGCTCTCATTTCCAGAGCAAATGTTGTGATGTCCACACTGTTCATCACAGACAAGGCATCAGAGGAGGAAGTAGACATGGCTGTTCCCCCAGGGAGATCCTGGAGTGAACTCTCCAGCATGGCCTCCCTCACCTGCTTCTCTTGTTAGGAAATCAAAGCTGCAGGTGATTCTTTCCAGCAGGGATGGAGAGTGGGGTTGACTTTAGAAACCAGGTGTTATCTCAACCTTGAACACCAGGGAACCAAACACCCCATCACCTACCTCACCTCAAGCCCAAGAGTAAGAGCAAGTCAGAGGGAATCAGGACCTGTGAAAGGCCATCCTGTTTCTTTCAAACCTCATTTAGGGCTCAGCAGGATGCCAGAATGAGTGAAATGGAGTGTCTGCAAAGACAATTAACTAGTACAGGGGTAGAGGGGATGTCAAGGCTTTGATCTTACCTTGCTCAATGTAACAACATCCTTTTTCTCAAAAACACTGAGCTAGCTGTTCTGAAGCAGACTATGTAACATCCATGGCGTCAGTCTGCAGTCACAGACGTGTGTAACCCTACAGTTCACATGACTGACAGCTGTGTTTTCCACAACCTTGAGGACACTTAGAGACACACCCCACAATGACTGCAGATCTTCCCAGGCCAGGGAACCCCAGGCTGACAGTCCTGCTGCTAGGTTATCATTCAAGCTATGTGACACCTGCTAGTTGTGAATAAGTTCTTAATTCCTTCATGTTCAAGGTTCTAGTGCCTTTAGTAGTGGCCACCAAGCATTTTACAAGCATCAATTCAATAAATCCTCATGAAAACTCCAGAGACTGAGGGATTAAGGGAACTCTCTGCCCAGGATTAAGTATATTGATCCACATTAGTGATAAACCTGGGTGCTGAGAGTCAACCACGCCTTACTTCCAAGGCTGTGCTTAATCACAATAGTAGTGTCTTAGAGAGAGAATAATCAGGATTAAGGATGCCCACGTGATGATGCATATTTTTCCCCATAAAAATTATTATAATTATATTATTGTATTATTAATATATTATTATTGATTTATTAATATTATGCAATATATTATTATTATGTTCAGAAAACCTCCAAATCTTACTCAGCTAATATCAACACTCTTAGCCATTACTGCACATCTGAGAATCCAGCATGAGGAACCCTTAAAACAGCAGACTTGAGGATCCGTGGTCCTGATACACCTGATACACGTGCTAACACTACTCTAACAATGACCATGGCAGACATTACTAATCATAGCACTTTCAGACAGAAATTGAATATGGCTTCATCATCCAGGCACTGCCAAAAGTAAAAGCTGGCTAGAAAAAGGCAACCAAATGCCATCCTGCTTTTATGTACTTGTCCATGACTGACCACTGTGACGCTCACTTTTGCAAAAATGTGTCCCCCCAAACCCCATTATAATCAGCTGCCAGTATATCATTAAGATAAACATGTCAGCCTAAGCTTCCAGGGGAAGTTAGGCAATAGAATCTGAAACTAAACCTCAGGATGTCAGTGGTCCTTCAGAGCACAGGGATGAAGCAGGTTTGTGCTTTCTGGCCACAGAAGTGAGGTCTCCTTCCTTTTGCTGGTGGCTCCAGCAGGGACCTTAAGATATACTATGTTACTATTTAGAGAAGACAGCAGTGTCATTGTTTAAGGCACAGACCCGCCACCTAGAGAGAGAACGTACACAATTCTAATCAACTTGCCACCACATGTGGTTACCTGAGGCATGGAGGAGTGGATATCTGATACTGCTGCTGCTAAGTCGCTTCAGCCGTGTCCGACTCTGTGTGACCCCATAGACAGCAGCCCACCAGGCTCCTCTGTCCACAGGATTCTCTAGGCAAGGACACTGGAGTGGGGTGCTATTTCCTTCTCCAAGTGGGTATATGGACTGAATTTATTGTCTAACTTGTTGCACTCTCAGGGTGTAAAGAGTCCCAATATTCCACAGGGATGATGCCAAAGTTCTCAAACTCTCCAGAACAAACACTGAGAAAATCCTGTACTGCTTCTTGAAAAAAGACTCAAGAGGTGTCCTTCACTCCACTTCCATGTAATGGGAAATGGCTCTTGCTCCAAGCAAAACTCTCTGTCAAGTGTTCCTTCTGGAACAACCCCTCTTTGAAGGTACCAGAGACCTGCTTTGCAACAAGACTGCTGACTGACTGAATTTCATGGGCAGCCTCAAATCATAAAATCTCTGAAGCCTTGTCTATACAGAGGACTGGATGGAGTTCATCACTCCCTCTACTGCCTCCCCAGGTCACATCAGCACAATGTTACTCACATCTGGGCTCTACTGCTACCCATCCATCCAAACATCTCACAAAAATGGACTTTACACAACTTTAGCTGGTTCTCTTGATGACGGAATTTTTTTAATATAGCTTTTATGAAACTGATGATCACTATCCTTTTCACAAATAATTAGAATAAATACCTCTTAAGTGTTTACTATAAAAACAAAACATGCAAATGTCACAATGAAAAAAGCTTCTTTGACTGAATGAATTGAGAATTTTTTCCATTAGTAGATACAAAGAACCATGGGACTTAATATGCTTCTCTACCTGGTTTGGTATCTAGAAGGTTAAGTTGGTATTAATTTTCAATAATTATTCATGGTTGAGGTCTCTGATACAAACATCTTCCCTCATCTTTTCGTCTATAGTTCTTATAACTTTTTAAGAAATATATAGCAATTCAATTTTCCTTATTATTTTTTGTTTTAATATTGATGAAATATATATTAATAATGAGATAAATTCAATTATTTCATAATCTGTGATTACCTATAGAATGATTAATCATAAAATGTGTTCTTCATTATTCTAATTTTTTTGGCTGCACCATGTAAGATCTTAGTTACTCGATCAGGGACTGAAGCTGTGGCCCCTACAGTGAAGTGCAGACTCTTAACCACAGGATCACCAGGAAAATCCCTGTTCCCCATTATTTTATTTTATTTAATTTTTCCCCATTATTTTAAAACTAGAAAGTTGAATGGGGTAATAGACCAGATGCATACTGAACATATCCCCCTCCTATGTTCTCCTAGGGGATTATTTTCAGCACTATTTATATGAGTAGTTTAGAAAAACAGGGGACCACACTGTGGTATCCGCAAATACTGGTGATGATAAAGAGCAAAGCTGAAAATAATACCACTTATCTTTTCAATACATTTAACAACTGCAACTTTCGTGAACATGTGAATGAATGTATTTTTCAAATATATAAGTTCTGACATATATTTCCTGATGTCTCCTTCCCTTTTCCTAATTGTTTCCTTTCCTTGTCATTTCTGGTAACTTCAGGAGAAGAAAAATTCTCTATTTTCCTGCTGCTTAGTTCCAACATGATGAAATACTTTATTTTTAAGAAATTTATAGGCTGGATACTCTGTGTTAGGAAGTATATCATGAACCAGACAGGAACAGTCCCTGCCCTCATGATGCTTATATTCCCTGTCCTAAGATTCAAACTGGAACTGACCCATCACCAGGTCCATTTGCCTTAAGGGCCACACTGACTCAGTGGTCATATATTTAATTACCTAATGTTAACTTAGTGAGAAATTCAAGAAGAAAGAATCTGCAGAATTTCAGGGGTGTAGTTCATTACAGCATAAATGGAAGCCAGCCTGCACTGCCCTCCCAACCTGAGAGCCCTGGTACTCACTTGTGGATTCCAGGCGTTTCACATCTCGTGACGTCTGTAAGAAATATCGCTGGAGAACAAAGAAAATGATGCCAAGGGGAATCACAGGTATAGCCATCCAAGGAATCGTAGCCACCATCACACCCACCACACCAATCACAAGTAGAAACGTCTAAAATAATGAAAATACAGAGACCTTCATGTCAAGGATACCTTTCAAAGATAAACTTTAATGGTTTGTGTTGTTAGGATTGAACTCCTTTCCTTGAAAGACTTGTTGGAACAGCAAGAAATGCTTTCCCATCCAAAGAAATAAAATTATAGGTGGTCCTCATGATGTTTATTGCATGAGCCAAATACTCTGATAAGAACTTTCTAGGTATCCACTCTTGTGATACTCAGTAACCCTATGTGGCAGTCAGTACTATCTTTAACAGATGAGAATATTTGAGGTTTAGAGAGTAGGAGCTGAATCCCAAATTATCAGGAGTCAGCAGGTGTTACTGGAGGGATGAGCGAGCAGACATCAAAGATGAGGAATCCAGAAGCCTCAGCTATACATGCAGGGATAAAGAAGTGGTTAATTACAAATTCAGGGTCCAGAAATGTAGGAAAAAATTAAAATATTGACCTTTGGAAATGGGAATTCTTTCTTGGTTTTCTATCCATAGTTAACATTTACTGAGTGCTGACTGTGTTCAGGGCTGAACATTTGATATTTCACATGCATTAACTCATTTATCCTCACAAAAGCTCTACCTAGTAACAGTATTATCTCATTTTACAGATAGAGACACTGAGACCCAGGGAGAGGAAAACATGATGGACACTGCAAAGTATAAGTCACAGAGCCAGGAAGCCCATGTCATGAGACTTTATGACATGTTTAAGCTTTCCCCCAATATACAGCCAACTTTCTTTTGTTGTGCTAAGTATATAAAATGTACATTTCAAAGGTTAGTGATTATAACAACAGCAGACACCATTTACCAGGCATTTACAATATGCAAGGTGTTGTGCTAAAAGTTCCATGAACATTCACTTAATTATCATGTCATCTGTGAGATGATTTTATCTTGGAGAATAGTCTTGTTCTACAAATCATTGGTTGATGCTGATATAAGCATTCATCTTTATCAGGGAAAGTATGATACCGTGGTGGGCAGCTTCAGGCAATAAGAATATGATCAATACTTAGTATCTGCTTGCTATGAGAGCAAGGTGGGGTGGTGGAGACGTGCAGATTCACATGGCCTAGGTCAAGGTCTCTGGAGTTTATGATCTCAAATGGATACAAATCCATGGCGATCTGAACATGGTACTGAGTGCTAGGGAAACACAGAGAGGAATACCTGAAAATTCTTAGACAATTCTGAGAAGACTTAGGACTGAAATTTACAGACTGGTTTAACAAATAGAAAGAGTGGCATGAATAATTTGTAGATGGTAATCACAGTTGATGGAGATTTTGACCAAAAAGGAGTTGGGATTAGGTTAAGATGCTTGTCCAAATTAACACCAGTTGTTCTGTGTCCTCTCAGCACCACCATCACCTGCATCCCACACATGCCACCTCAGAGCCTCCCCACCTTGTCATCCAGGGCAGCTGGCCCCAGCATGTCTCTGAGGGACGGATTAGGGGGGTACTGTCTGTATCACAGAGACTCAAGTTATCATTTCACAGCTCTTCCTGATCAGTTTTCTCAGAGGATCTTCACAACCATCTTCTGAATGAGAAAAGCAAAAACTTCATTTTCATTTACAGATAATACATGAAGATAGGAGGGTAAGTGGTTTTCTAGGGAAGGACTGCAGGTCATGGAGAAAGACAGGAGCAGTTTGTACTCAGAGAATCCTAGAGCCCCCTGCAGGCAGGAGGAGCCTGAGAGGAGGAGGAAATGTCTGGAACCATGACTCTGTGTCCAGGAGCCCTTGTGATCCAAACTGCATTTTCTGGATGGATACCCATGTGCCTTTCCTGTTTTTCCCCATCTCTGCCATGGTATCAATATGAAACTCAGAGTGAAGAAGACGGGATTCTGAAGGAATAAATTCCAATCATAAGTGGAGAAAAATAGGGCTGTCTGACCTCTCTATTAGACCTACAGATGAATGATTTCTTACAGCCACTGCATTAACTGTGTATCCTACCCTGCTGGACCCTCCACGCTCATGGAGATGGGTCCTTCCAGCTCCTGCAATGTCTGGTCTTTAGTCACTTGGCTCGCCATTGTTGGTTATCAAAAAACCCTGCTAAAATGTCAACCAGGGAAAAATCCAAATTACAGTTTTTTAGCAGACCTGTATCATTTAGACATCTACCAGTTTCAATGATCTGGCTCTCCCCAGGTGAGGGCCTTTTATGACTAACCCAGCCTGGCAGGTAACTTGGGAAGCAGAGGTAAGATCAAAATGAAGGGCTCCACAGGGGCCTGTGCCAGTGTTTCTTTCTTAGGTACCCACTGAAGACCCATTATTAATGCTCTCAGAAGCTCCCTAGTTAGGTTAGGTCCTTCAGATTTCATGACCCTAAATTCTGAAGTAACTCAAAGAGGATGTCTCTAACAGGTTTATTTATACTTGTAGGTAATACTATAGCCACCCTCATTGTGGATTGGATATTATACATATACATATATACACATATATAGTGTATGGGTTTATATTTATACATATATAGACTTGTGAATCTTTTATTGCCAGCCATCTCAAATCCCTTAAAGAAGTTTGTAGAAGATGAAAATAGCATCTAAGAAAAAAATCAACATCTCAGAAGGAAACAAAAGATTCTAGTATGCTTCCTTGAAGCCAATCTCATTTCTTTCTCAGACATTCCCAGGAATTTCAAAAAGTCCAACTCAAGATACACACACAATTCCCCCAACTGATTGGATTCCAAGCCCACCTGATGGCCCACATCACCAAGGACAGTGTTTCTGTACCTCTGTCACACAGGCAAGGAGACAATGATGGGTACATAGAAAAAACCATACTGACCCAGAGTAAGTGACCCAAGTCCGGATGCCCCTCAAAGTAAGGAGAATAATTATTTTTATATATTTCCCATTTGGAGCACACCATTTGGGAAATGGTATCCAAAGTCTATGAATCCACATGAACAAATAAAAAAAATTCTTAGATGAAATCTTCACTTGAGAGAAAATGGTGATTTTTCATAATTCAGAAAAATTCTTTAGTTTGTAGAGAATGAGAGCCTACATCTGAAAGGGAAATTCCACTAGCCCAGTATTGTGCTAAGACAGGGTTTAGGGCTAACCTTCTTGAATAAACAAGGAGAGTAAGACTCTATACTTCACTCTCAACCTTAGTAAAAGCTGGGATATACCAACAACATGAAAGGATGGTGGTAGGAATTAAATGAGGTAATGCACATAAAGTGCTAACTAGTTCATACGTAACAAATAAAAACTCTAACTCCATCATTATCACCCTTCAGTGTGTTCTGGATGCCAGAAGTGAGGGGAGGAGGGAGGAGGTATTCAAAGACTTATGGACCCAAAGAATCTTAAGAATCTCATGAAGTTGCACCCCAAGAGACCACTCACTCTAACCACTAGAAGAGCTTAGCATTATCCAAGGACATATCAGAGCAGGTGTTATTTTTCCTTTAGTTTAGTTTAGTGAAAGTCACTCAGTCATGTCCAACTCCTTGTGACCCCATGGACTATACAGTCCATGGAATTCTCTAGTCCAGAATACTGGAGTGGGTAGCCTTTCCCTTCTCTAGGGGATCTTCCCAATCCAGGGATCAAATCCAGGTTTCCCGCACTGCAGGCGGATTCTCTACCATCTGAACCACAAGGCCTAGATGTGGTAATGATGTCACATGTACCAAAGTGATTGTGGCTTTTCTTTGGTCACAGTGAAAAATGTATCTGAGGTCCATTTTGTTTGAAGATGCAATTTTAAAATAATATGACCAGTATACTTCATGACTACAATTTCTCTCCTCTCTGTATTATCTACCCAATTCTAGGCCTTCCAAGATTGATGTACTTAGGGATATGGCAGCAAGTAACATTTTTGAGATGGTTCTTTTCTTATTCTATATATTCCTTCTCTTTCCAGTTATCCTTTTTATTCGTGCAGATTTACTGCTTTGAAACTCCTGAGCATTTATGGGTGACTAAGGGGGAAAGTGGTGGGCCTCTGGATCAAAAAAACCAAACCAGATTATTCAATATAATCAAAGAGAAGATCAATTTCACGTTTTCTATTTTATGCGCCAGGAATTGGTATATTGATACCAGTGGAAGTACAAAATCTAGATTTTGTAAACTTGTGAATCTCAGGAAATTCAATGTGTCCACTCCAGGTCAGCATTCTTGATGCAGGTAAGTAGCCTAGTTAGGACATCAGGATAAATAAAGTAAAGAAAATGTCACCGCCAACTATGGAAGGAAGTCTAATGAGCACCTTTCATCCTCCGAAAGGATGCTGTGCTATGAGCAGCTGTTTATGACAAGCCACACTGGCATCTAAATGAATTGTACATGAAGTATATTAAAAAAAAAAGCAAAGAAAATAACACTTGTGTAAATGTTAATGCTTAAAAAATGTGCCCAACCAAAAAATTGAAAAATAAGACCCTGCTTTATTGCTAGTTCAGTTCAGCTCACTTCAGTCGCTCAGCCATGTCCGACTCAATGCGACCGCATGAACCGCAGCACATCAGGCCTCCCTGTCCATCATGAACTCCCAGAGTCCACCCAAACCCATGTCCATCGAGTCAATGATGCTATCCAACCATCTCATCCTCTGTCATTCCCTTCTCCTCCTACCCTCAATCTTTCCCAGCATCAGGGTCTTTTCAAATGAATCAGCTCTTTGCATCAGGTGGCCAAAGTACTAGAGTTTCAGCTTCAACATCAGTCCTTCCAATGAACACCCAGGACTGATCTCCTTTAGGATGGACTGGTTGGATTTCCTTGCAGTTGGATCTCTCAAGAGTCTTCTCCAACACCATAGTTCAAAAGCATCAATTCTTTGGTGCTCAGCTTTCTTTATAATCCAACTCTCACATCCATACATGACCACTGGAAAAACCATAGCCTTGACTCAGTTCAGTTCGGTCGCTCAGTTGTGTCTGACTCTTTGCGACCTCATGAATTGCAGCACGCCAGGCCTCCCTGTCCATCACAAACTCCCAGA